TCCCTTCCACCCCAGGCCATTCTATGATTCTATGAAAACAACCCTCTTCCTTGTCTTCTACCACAAAATCTGCTTCTGTTTCTTGTATGCTAATATTGGCAGAGGCAGCATCAAATTTGTGGCTACAGAGAAATGTGGAATGGATAAATAAAAAATTGGTAGATATTTGTGGTTACCTATGTTATACAAATAACAGTTTCAACTCATTCTGTTGAGCATGAATGAACTAAATGCTTGGCAGTACTTTTTTGTTGTGTTTACAGTGGTAGAAACATCTCTGTTATGAGATACTAAAAATGCCAGGGAGAACCATTCTGAATTTCCAGAGCAGTCAAGCCATTACCCTGTAAAAAGTGAAAATGGAATTCTGATAAATTAATTTACTCTTTTGAATTCACTGCAAACTTCAGAAGCGGTCCGATGAGTAGGATGTGCTTCCAAAATAGGAATTGAAATGACAGACCCAGAATGTCACAGTATGAACATACATTTACAAAAACAAGTGTATGTGTATGCATGTTTCTGCAATTAAGAGAAAAAAAGTATGTCTGTAGGCTAAAACCTATTTGCCATTCAGGTGCATTTTTATTCTTATCATATTAATTCCCCAGGATATGATATTTATGATCTTTATTCAAAGTATTATTTTAATTGCTGCTTTGTGGCGTGCTTTTCAGGGTAAACTTTTAAGTCATTCTTTAGAGTACACTTAATGCATTATCTAACTAAAGGTAGTTCCGTAAACATGCATCCATTTTAATTTATAATTTTTGGTGAGATCCTAGAATAAAGTCAGTAACAAGTTACTGAATAATAATGTGATTTAACACTTTCAGGATATCAAAGAAGGACACAGAAAAATAGAAAATTTAGTTTTCTGCTGGAGAGAGGCAGAGATTTAATAGAACAAATTCTGAAATCCTGTATTGAATTTATCTTTAATGAAGAAAATTCCTACCCCTTTCCTGACAGAGAAATTTAATGTTTAACCTGAATTTGGCAGTGTAAAGTTTTAACTATTTGTAATTTTATGCAAAAAAATGTGCTCTGAGTGGATGTTAAATGTGATGCAGTGTGGGGAGGGTTAGTCTATAATCAGGTACAGCAGGAAAGAAGCTGAGAATAAATGGGAGGCCTGTATTGTGAAGAGGAAGTTTCTAGGGAAATAATAAGTTTAAAGTAAGTAGAGGAAGAGGAAGCCAAAGCAAGAGAGAGATTCTGATAGGTAATATAGTAGCAAGAGAAAAAGAAATGAAAAGGTTGGGAGATGAAAAGGAAGACACGGCGTGAAAGTAGGGAAGACGGGTAGAACAGTGATGCATGGTGGGAGGACAAGAGATAACAGGCAAAAACTGAACCAAGGGTAAGTTCCAACTCAAAAAAAGGAAAAACTCTTTCACCATGAGGACAATCAAGCAGTGAACAGATTGCCAGGAGAGGTGGTGCAGTCTCCATCCTCAAAGGTATTCAAGAGTCAGGGGGTAAGGGGCTGAGTGACCAAGCCTGACCTCATGTGTGATCCTGCTTTGAGCAGGAGGTTGGACTAGAGACCTCCTGGGGTCTCTTCCAGCCTGAATTATCCAGCGATCCAGTGAAAAATATAATTGTGTTAGCTGAGTATTAAAATTCTTTGTGACGTGGCCATGCTGTTGCTTTCCAGAATGACTGTTTTGTTCACCCAGACTTCTGAAAATCAGTAATGAAATGCTGTGCGTCGTTAGCTTTACCGGCGGTCAGCAGAACCCATGACATCTGTGGAAGTTAGGAGCTCCAGCTACACTCTCTGGGTTCAGTGTGGTGGTGCTGGGTGACAAGAGAGCTCCGTCAGCCTGTCATAGGTGGGACATAGGCTCCACTCAGCCTTCCCTCCCACAATACAGCAAAGGTGCAGACCATCTAAATTAACATATAGATCTTTTGGGCCACTTGAGAACAGTCGGGGTTTAAATTGAAACTGAGTGTTAAACCTCAGCTAGAACAACGCTGTTGCTTTGCTATGATGATTTCATAAGTGATGATTTCCCAGACTTCCTTTATTCATTTTTCTTGATCATTTATAAGCATGCACCATCTTTGCAATGTGTGTATTATTGTTTAATTTTTTCATATTTTATTAATAGCCTTTTCCCCTATAGCATTACATTCCTTTTCCAGATTAAAAATACATTTTTTTCACACTTCATTTAATTTTGCTTTCTTCTTTATTACATTCAACCTGCACATATTAGTTGTTTTTTTTGTAGTCCTCTCTCCTTTCTCATTTACATTACAGGATGTTAGAGGTTTAAGGGGGCTGGGGAGAGGAGTGAGATTGGCTTTTATGATTGCAGTCTTTGAGCAGCCTCTTGTGAGGTTACTTTTGACACTTGCTGTTGATAACTGACTTCTTTTTAAAAAGAACTGTCTGAGCGTAAGTTATGGTGCCTTTCTGGATTCCGCAGCCTTCTTCCACATGTGGATTTTTGTAATAGCTCCAATCTGACCTTCTTCATTAAATTACTCAGTTCCATAGAATCAGAGTTCTTGAAATCCGATATGCCAGTCTGGTTTATTGTGTACATCTATCTTGTATCTGCATTCCGTGTACAGTACTAAATTCAAGTGTCTCTTACTCTCTGATTTCAATCTACCCACCGGTTTCTTTCTGCTGATAAGAAATTAATTCAATATGTTTTCCCATTGACCCATTTTTTTAGACTGTAAAGTTATTCTGTATTAAGTAGAAGCCAACTTTGATGCATGTTCACTGTATTTTTTTGCCCAGTGAATCTATGGGAAGATAATTTCTCCCACAGTTGTGGTATCCTGTGATTTCCAGTCCTGTGAGAACTGGCCGTGCATTTTTTTAATTCTCGCTTTCATCTGGTTGTGATGGTTTATAAGCAGATGTTTATTGTTCTCTCTTTCTTCCCCCCTCCCCATTCTTGCTAACTTAATACAAAGCTAGTTGCTACCACTGTTTTCATTGTCACATTATAAATATTGGGCATAATAAATGCTCATGATTCATAAAATCATTGTAATTATCTTCTGGGATCCTCAGTGGTTAATTCACTCTTCCTGCTCACAAAAAATTGTTTAAAAATCACTTTCCAATAATGTTAACTCTGCAGCAGCTTTAAAGTTAATTTTTAGATCTCTATGTCTATTTTTGCAAAGAAGTCTTTGAGTTTACAATAGAAAGTGAGATGTTTACTTAACTAATGCGTCTGATTGAACTTATTGTGTGGTATGTCATTATAAAAAAAAACTTTCCACATGCAACAAATATGTATCTTTATATTCAGACTTGTTTGAAGAACAATTAGGCCATATTTTTATAATTTCTTTTATGTCTTTCACTACTAATTTATTTTGTGGTGGTGTTTGGTATATTTCTGTCCCTGAAGTTTCATTGAAGTCTGCTTTAAACATAATTAGACTTTACATTTATGAAATTTCTAGCTGCTTATGGAATGGCTACTCCAAAGACATTGCAGATATTATGTTTTGGTCTGCATGTTAATTCAACATCTAAAGGATAAAATCCTGAATTAGAAGTGAGAATTCCAGGCTTGGTTTATTTTGATTTCTTTGCTTAAAGAAAAGAAAATGCTCACTGAATCTTGAAACTGCAGTCAATAACAAGAAAATACTAATTTTCTGAAATAATTGCTTTATGGAGGAGGTTAGGCAATAACTGGAAACTACTGTTCTTGATATCAACAAAACATTATATTTTTCCCCACCCGTAAAAGATCTAAGAAGTTCCCCATGCCAAGATCTTTGTCACTGACTGCAACTTTTTTGATATTGAGGTGAACATTTGTATCTGCTGTCTCTCTGAGCAGTATCTTCGACACTTTTTTTTTTTGCTATTATGTAGTATGTCATGTTGGGATGAAGATTTATGCTATCTCCTGGGGTTTTTTGCTTTTCTTAGTATTGCTGACTCTGCATTTAGTGATCTGTTGAAGTGATAAGTGGTGTGAAGTTTTAAAAAAGTTAATTTCTTGGTTGTCATCTATTGTCAGTAATGTGGACCTGAACAAACACCTTTTCATAGAGGTCCCTTATTTAAATGGACTTTGGGGACAAGACCTTATGTGGTGTTTTCACATTGTACAAAATCATATAAAATATAATACGAATTTTATATTTGAGATGTATATTCTATAAATTATGTAGTTATATTAACTGTGCCTTGAAATAAATCATCTTAAAATTAAATTTCCAGCTGTTGAAAAGGTTCTGTCAAGACACAGCAGTGTATGAATTGAAGGTAATGTTTAGCAGATTAGTAATTTTGATTGATTTATCTTTGTATGAAACACTGATGTCTTTTTCTTGATCACAGACAACCTATCACAACAAGTTTGTGTTATTACCAATGTGAAGGAAGCTATTGCACAAGTAGGTTTTCTCCTTCATGAATCTCTGAAAAGCCAAATAAAAGTAAGTACAACTCTATGGCTGTAAACTGTACAATTAATTTAATGTTTCTGGTTGTCACAACTTGTAAGAAATGGTCTAAATAATGTGAATACAGAAACTGAGACCTCCTGTGTCACTGTAGTATTTATTACAAGGGATTAACACCGGGTGTGGAAGTTCCCAGGAAAGAAGCATCTTCTGCCCAATTATGCTGTAGAGGGGGATCTTACAGATCCTCTTAAAATGTATATATTAAATTAGAGGAGAAATTGGATCCAGACAACAGAGGGCCATTTTCTTTAGATTTTATGAATTCAGTGAGCCCAAATTGTTACAAATATGTTACGGAGGAAATGCTTTTGTTACTTTGAAGTCTGAATTAAAGTTTGAACCAATTAAAGAGTAAATTGTATTTCCACAGAGCTGCAAATGCGAAGTCAGATTATCAGCCTTTTTGCAGAGATACAGGGGTACATTTTGCTCATAATGAATGCTCATTGAAGCTTTTGCTGTAGGATATTGATGGAATTTTCTACTGGCATTTAACTATCTTTTCCATTTTCATTATTCCTACTAATAGAGCTATCGCATATTTTCATTTTCCCCAAGGTGATTAACATTTGGTAATTGCTTAAATCATGACTGATCTTGGGGTGATTCTTAATTATATCTGATGTGATGATATCACATCTTTGTATTACCCAGAGAAACAGACGGGGAATAGCTGTTCAGAAATGCAGGTATTCTGCTTTGCATAATGTTACTTCTGTAATGGTTTTATTCACGTCTATTGATCTTCTGCATTGTGTGCTTAGTTAAGAGTAGAATGTTCTTCTGTAGAAAACTGTATTGCTACTTAATATTTGGAAATGTCATTTGACATTGTAATTACAGTTTTTGTTTGGAAAGAAGTGTATTTAATATGGAAAATCATACTTTATTAAATATCTGCATTTAAAACTGCAAAACATTAGCGGAGTTGAATAAGATCTTTTCTTGCCTGAGTAGCTGTATAATGCAGCAGAAGTATGTTTCCATTTCATTGATACCAGATCCATTGCTATTTCCCCTTTTTTCTCTCCATTTAAACTATTCTGCAATTAATAGGAAGACATGACTTACCCAGAACAGAAAAAAAGTACTTCTTTAAGTGTTGAATTATCTGTATCTATATATTATATTTGCATATAACTTTAATCATATCATGAGAAACACTTCCAAGCCAGTAAGAAAAGTCAAAGAATGCATTATGTTTGACGAGCCAGCACTCAAATCAGACTGGCACCAAAACTAGTTAAAATTGACAACATGTTTCCAAATTTCATTGCAAAAGCAGTCAATTATTGGGTTGGTCAGGGACCTGAATCTATGGTGCATTTGAATAAAACACACGTAAAATAACCACAAACAAGATAATGAAGGCATAAAATGAAGGTATTCCTATTGATAGGGGACTGAATTTTTTATGGCTCTATTAAATCAGTTTAGTCGATGATTTCTAGCACTGTTGTTCTCTTTTTTGATCCATATTGTCTTTTCTCATAATAAAGTTGATTGATTGTTAAATTTCTCTTCAACACTTTCAAAACATTCCTGCAAAGTGACACCTGCCAAAGAGCTCTGTCAAGATCCCTGTCTTGTATTGTTCCTTGAAACCTCCTCAGTCATTCATTTTATGAACCCTTAGATTGAAACTCTCTAAAAACTAATACTTATGTATTGACTGTATTGTTTTTAAACAATAAAATCTCTTAAGAGTTATATTTTTAAGCTTACCAGTGTGTAGAACTTCTGAATTTGAAGCACCTTAGAATATATCCACTGGCCTACATTGTATCAAGTGAAGCACAGTAACCTTGTGGAGAGAGATTTGACTCTGGACAATGTGGTAATTATTTAAGCAGGTTAAACATACTGCACTGAAAGCTGGGCCTTTTCAAAGGGCTAATTGGAGGGTAATTGATCTTAATAAGACACTAATTGGGAATCATTCACTAGAGTATATATTATCTAAAATTTAAACTATCTGTGGTCAATATTTTAACATTTTAGATACTTTTGATGCTCTAGTTCTTAGTAGCAGCCATAGTTACTTTTAAGATATTTGTTAACTTCTAGATACATCCTTAAAGAATCATTAAAGATGAATTCAAAAGAAATTTTGTTAGAGGGATTTCTGAGAGAGACTCCAATAACATGATAATGCCAATAATGGGGAAAAAAGACCTAAAAATTGAACTGATGAGATAAAATGAAAAGAAAAGCTTCACTAAAAGAAATAATAATAAGGCAACAGTTATTGCTTGTAAAGTACTTTAAGCATAAGTATTTTAATCAATGTTACTGTAACCTGCATAACTAATAAATGAATGTCTTGCAGAAGTTATCTTACTGTGAAAGACATAAGTTGAGTCTTTTTTAAGTAAGTTTGTTATTTAGCCCTTTTTTTTTTGATGCAAGGAAACTTAAATGGGGGCTGAAGGTGTTTTCTTCTGTGACTGGAAATGATGCACTCCTGCTTATTCAGTGACAAGGTGCTCCTGTCACATCAAATGTAATCAACTAGATGAGGTTGTGTGTTGTTTTTGTGACTAGGTAAATATCCACAAGCAGTATATAAAAATATTTGGTTGTTTTCAATTAGGAAATGAGCTAGTGTTTAACTAATAGAAATTCACTAATTTCTTAATCATCGCATTGTCCATCTGCTGGATTGGTATTAATTGTGATTTTACATTCTGATAATTTAGCTAACTTTTACAGATTCCCAATGTCCTGGTGGTATTTTTTTGATTTTATGAAAGTGGATGTTGAATAAAGCTGAAACTTCAGCACAGGGCATCTGATAACATTAGAAAAACATTAAAGAAAACATATTTAGTATCCTTATCTTCATGTTCATAAACACTTACCATCTCTGCTTCATTATGCTAGCTGAATATCAAATGACCAGAAATGATGAAGGAAATGCATATACTTTTTTCTATTTAAACACTGAAACATTATGTGACAAACATTTTTTACTGAGGTGGTATTTGTAGGTAATTTTTGGTCTCTCAAGTAGTTGATAACTTTGATTAATATTAATTTTAATTGAAAAAAATACTTTTGCATAGGATACTAACATGCCAAAATAGAATAAGAATTTTAGTTAATTGATGATGTATTGAGGCTTCTGGCTAGGCAGCTGTGCTCACTTTTCCAAGAGAGAAATCTGATTTAATTTTTGCTGGAAAATATGGCTGTAAAACAAAGACTCAGTGTACTGCTTTGTCAAATTGTTCAAGTTCAGTCAAAACTCTGATACACTAAGTTAATTTTTAAATGTTCAGGAATACTTAAGCATCGTGTATTGTAATATCTCAAGGAAAAAAAAGTAGGCCTTCTCCCTTGAGTCATGTTCTACTTACCTTCTGAAAAGACTCTGGCATGCAGCGTGCTCCTGTTCATCTAAGTATGTGCAAGGTTATAAAGGTACTGGGGATTTCTGTTTTTACTTCTGCAGAGGTTCCAGCTAGGAGAGCCCTGGAGTATTGCATTTTGAAAGTATTTTAAGTAATTCTTGCCTTCTGTGAATTTTTTTTTTAATCTCTTTAAACTATTAAATGTCAACTATTTGGGCCTATGTTATCAAATTTGCAGGCCAAGATGTTTCTAAAATCTAAAAGTTGATAAATATCAACTTTTGAGTTTCAAACCACCTTCCTTTGCAAACAAATTAGCTCCCCAAGTACTAGAAAAATAAACAAATACAGCTTTAGATAAGAGTCCAAAGCCTTTTTATAAAATGTTGTGTTTGGTACTTCTGTTGGATTGTGGATTTAGTGACATTTTGAGGGAACAGTGTATTGCTTCTGTTGTTTGCTGCTAAATATAATATGTCTTCTGGGCAGAAATAAAGCTAATTTGAGCAGTGGAACAGTGAAGTTTGCTGGTTTAATAGAAGCAACATGAAGATTTTCTTTGCCTTACTTTCAGGTTGGTTTTTTTTACTGGCTTCAAAGTGTTATCTTCTCTTAGGGAACAAATTCCCCTTCTACTACCTGGCTTGCTGTTTTACTTAAGGCAATCCTGAGGCTGATAATGTAGTAGAATCTACTTTTTATTTTAATTAGAATAAGATCATTTCTTAGCTGGTCTTGTAGTTAAAGGTTGCAAAATAAGTATGTCTGTGATTAAGACAGTATTTTAAAGCATTCGTTGAGGAAATTATTTTCGGGAGAAATTCTAAATGAGTCTTGTCATATGGAGAAGCCTAGAATACCTGTGCACCTGGTCTGTCATACATTCTTGTTAATTTATTTTATTTTTTAGTTGCATGAAGAAAAAATATATATGTATTTGAATATTATAGAGATTTCCTCAGAATTAAAGGTCTAAAATAATTAGATCGTCTTGATCTTATGAGCAGTGTTTTCATCTCTGGGAACAGTTGAACCTCCCAACCCAGGCAGTAGCGCCAGTGTCTGATAGTGCTAGGGATGTTTCTGGAATGGCTCTCTCTAGCAGTACGCTTCGGCAAAACCTTGCAGAAATATCTGCAGGGTGTTGGACTCCATGCTTCACTGTTGAGTCACCTAAAAACTTGAGCAATTTTTAATTCTCATAGTGGAAATAATAATTGCCAGTTTTAAGTGATTTGAATGAACAAATGCTGCCATAATGGTGGAAGCTTTGGTAGATAGTTAGGGCTGAAATAAATAATAATGTTATTTTTTTCTAATCAGGTTGAAGCTATATCAATATCTCTAAGCAAAAATGATAGCCATCTACAAAACATCTTTTCAGGACAGTGCTACAATTTTATTTGCATAAATGTAAGTAGTAAGGATGCATGCTTTTAATTTTGCACTTAAATTTGTTAGTAATGGTAAATAGTAATTACATATTTGAAGAATAAGTTGTTTTTCTGTTTTCTTGGTGTATCCATTCCAATGTTTGGTGTGTCTGATGTGCACCAAACTAGACCTTTGAGATACTGGTCCATTCTTTCTCTCCTGGGTCTGCACTTCCATCTGTATGTTGTTAAACCAGTCATGAATTCTTGAACAAGAGGGATGCAACTGAAAGTAGTTTAAATTTTCCTTTCATGTATATTGGTTTGAAGTGAATTGTCTCAAGAGGTGGTATGTTGTATGTGTAGTCATCTAACCGTGCATTGCTACTGTGGCCTAAATTAGCTGGTGTTTCCCATGCATGCCATGCAATCTGTATTTGAGTCCCTGTATGGGAACATAAAGGTTTTAATGAACCATATCTGATACCAATCAAGATCCTTAAGTCTGTTACATATATATATTTCTTAAGGGTAATATTATTTTTTTTTTTCAAGCAATCATAACTTTACCAGACAAAAGCATTACAAATATATTACAAGCAAAGAAACAACAACAACAACCAACACAAAAAATGCAAAAAGTGATGTATCTTATTTTGGTAAATAACAGGTCTTTGAATTCCATTTTTATGAAATAGTTGTTTGATGTTTTAATAATTCTAAACATTTGTTTTCATTTAGGATAAAAAGTATGCCATTCAAGAAACACAGCAACTAGTGGATATGTTGGAAGAATCAAATATTCCTCTTTTATATCCAGTTGTTCTTATTTTGGTAGGTGACTCCTATAAGTTACTATAGAAAGCATCAAATGAAATATTTTTAAATGTTAGTCTAAGTTTGAACTATTTCAAGAGATGCTGCCAGCTGTGAATAAAATTGTAAATTTGAACTGTAAATTGGACTGTAAAGTGCATCATTTGCACTTCAGCAAATGTACTGCATGCTGTCAGGAAATAAACCAACATTAGTGAGTGACAATATATTAGTTATATATTTCTGTACAAGACTCATTGTGGCTAGTCATGTCGAACTGTTAACTCCTGCTTTGCTGTTGTGCTCCATCTCTGCTGAGGATGCTGCAAATGCTGTGCTCTGCTCGAATGCTCGGTTGAAACACAACTAAGTGGCTTTATTTTTCCTGAGAAATAGGTATGAATGCAAATAATGCTTACAGAAGTTCACCATGAAACTCGGGTTTTGCCCCTAAGATCTTGAAGTCATTGTAGAATCCGGCACCATTTATAATGAAAGTGTACTTGGTTGAGCAGCCTGCAGCATACACAGATTATTTAGGTGGACACCTTTTAAAATAGCCTCAGGAGAAAATGATACATTTAATCTCTTTACTGTACTCTCCAGATCCATCAGTTGTTGCTGAAATTTCCCAAAACTAGAGAGTGGGAGAAAAGTCTTATAACTAGAGGGATACATTTGCTAACATCTAAAATGCAGATATGCGTATATTTGTCAAAAGTATTTTTAAAAAAATGAAGTACCCTAACTATAAAAAAGTATTTTGTGCTACACATTCACATTTTATGGAGTTTATATCTTTTAGAAATGCAAGAAGGAAAAAAAAGAAAGAGAACTGGAAAGTATGTTTTAAATGACTGAAGAATTAGCTAAGCAAATCATTGTCTCATATTAATCACTGGGAACTACTTAAGTCCTTTAAACTTATCCCTAAAACTCATCACAGATGGTATGGCTGGGGGAGAGAAACTTCCTTCAGCAGCCTTTAATTATGTGCAATATTAGGTGTCCTCTTTGCTAAGGCTCAAGAGTGGGATTCTCTTCAGGTTTATTCTTCACTATAAACTTCATTGAACATAAAACCTGAATGCATTGTTAGTGAAAAATCCTGCAAAACACTTCTCTTTTGGTGTAAAAGGGCACATTAATATTTCTCAGGCAAGTGTGACTCAGAATTTTAAGCGTATGATGACATATAAATGCATAAGTTTTAGGTACTAGCTGTACAGGAAACATTATTCTTTTCTAGTCTCAAAAGTGAAACTGTTCCTGGTAGTGAAGAGTTGAAAGGATAAATGAGGGAAGCAGCTAACTGCTTCCATTCTTACCTCATAATCAGGAACAGTCTAATGTAGACTTTTGCGTAATTGGAAAGTTCTTGTCTATTCTTTCATTTCAGGACGTGTAATTTCTTCATAACAATCTGGTAATTAAGAGAATCAAATTTATTTTTCCTTTCAATATTCAGCTGCTTTGGCTGTAAAAATGTTATTGTTGTGCCAGTTTGCTATTTAACCAGCCTGGGGAGAATCATCCCAGTAAAAGGATGAGCTTGCACTGGACATGATGACTTCTGTCAATATTCCCTCCTATAAATTGCCACAGATTTCAAAGTCTATCCTTCATCCTGGTGCCTGACTGGAGGCATCTGTAAGCTGAAGCAGCAATTGGACTACTGTGTCTGGACACAGCAGCAAAGGGAAGATGAATGTTATAGGAGAAATAGGAAGCACAGAGGTAAACTTCAGGCAATTATATGTCTGCATCAAACCAATCTCCTCTCCAACTCTGCTATAGCCAGAAGAATCATATTCTTAAACTGACATTACTTTTCTCAGTAATACATGTTCACGTGTGTAGATGCAAATATTTAACTGAATGGATGTGATTTTTATTTTGTGGTTGTTATTCAGGGTTTGAAAGAAAGGAGTGCTAGTACTTCAGCTCTGTAGTTGCCAGTATTTGCATTTCAGTACAAAAGTAAGTTTGAAGAAAATCTCTTTAATGCTGTGGAACAGGTTAATAGTAAATAGGTGTTAGGTAATGCTCTCCCAAAATAACAGGGTTTAAATTTTATTGTAAATAGCTGTAAATGAACAGTATTTAGCCTTATTTTGGGTAAAAAAAAATAACAACATAGTATCTGAAAATGTCATTTCAATGAGAGAAATCTCTGCCTGTGTAGCAGAAGACAATAGTTTTCCACCTGGCGAATATGCACTTGGACAGTAAACATCTTTTTAAAAAGTGTTGCAACAGGAAATGAAAAAAAAAACTATTATCTGTCAGGATCAATTGAACGTAAGGTACAAAGGGAATTTGAAATAATTTTCCCAAGCACAGATCTCTGGGGCTACCTCTATAGTCCTACCTCTCTGTAGTACTTACAGGTAAGGTTTATATAGATGGAATGATTGAGCCAGAAATGTGTTTTCCCTTTCTTTTAAGGGGAAAGGTATTTCTTCTATTAATAGATGCTTAACTTTATGTGTACAAATCATCATCCTTAATTTTGATTTCTACAGTTAATAGAGACTTTGAAGTAAACCAATTAAACTGTGGAACAGGTAAGCCTTGGGAAAGGGTTCAGAGAGCCCTGAGCTACTTGATACCCCCCTGGAGATACCAGATCAGGTCTTGTAAGACCCAAGCATCCTTGCTGGGTATGAGACCTGCTTTTCCCTGCCCAAGAGCTCAGGGTAGTCATATCCTTACCTTCTCTTGAAGTAGTTTCTGCTCTTGAAACTTGAAGTGTTATCTTGACATTAATCCAATTTAGGCAACTAGTATGCTACACTGAAAAGGTAGTAAATTCAAAATAAATCTTTAAAGAATTCAGTGCCATTTTGAAAACCTTTTAAGATGCTTAAGAAAAACATTTGCATTTCTCTAGTATCCTGATTGTAAAAATAAAATAAATCTATGAAAGTTAGATTAGAGCTTAGAAAATAATATTGTTTTCTGATTTAACTAAATATTTTTAATATGCAGTTAGAATATTATGTGAGAACACATCAGAACGCATTAGTTTCATTGTGCTTTGAAAACAAATAATTTTCATTATTTAAGTGGTGGAATTCAATAGTAAGAGAAGCAAAGTAATAAAAACCTTTGTTAGCCTGTATTTTTATGTGTGCTTAACACATAAAAATGAGATATTAAATGGCAGTCTAAAATAACAAGCTTTTTCAAAGTGGATTTTTTTTTCATATTTGTTCCTTTGCAGGTGCACTTGGATACTTCTGAAAATATTTCTTTCGGTGTTGGGACAGAAGAACTAACTAGGATCAAGAAATTTGCAAGGGAAGTGAAAAAGAAAAATATCTTGGTTTATGGTCTCCTTATCCAATATAAGGTATGGAATTCTCTTGCTACATGCAAATTATCTACTTTTATGATTTATATGATTAATGATAGAATCTTCATTTAAAACAAAATCAAAGAGGAATAAATATGACATGAAAAAGATTTGTTGGGAAGATTCTTGCCTATTCTTGTTTGGAAGAGCCTGTAGTTACAGGCAAAATGTAAGCATTTTGATTAGAGAGGAATAAATCGTAAACATTTTTTAGGACCATGCGAAAATATTAGGGCCCTTTTTGCTTTTCTGCTTTGAAACTTGTTTTTTGCAGCATTAAAAAAGTAAAAAAAAAAAAAATAGTAAAAGTACAATTGTTCAGTGGTTCTACAGAATGTTACATTCCCCATCCGAAGAGAGTTTGATGTTCAGGTGACAGAAAGGGCATGGCATATAGGTGGTGAAACAAATGGTGCCCATGTCTGCTGTAGCAGCAAATCGCCTCAGCCGGAGGCGAAAAGGGTTAGCACTCCAGCATCCTCTGTACTCACAAAAGCTGGTTAAAATAAACCATCTTGTCTGGGAAACGTGTTCTGCCAACCAGAAAAGTGCCTTGCTTCCAGTTTTTGCAGCTTCTTAATTTAGTCAACAGTGAAGGAAGAAGTCACATATTCAGTGGAAATTTTAATAAAGAAGAATAAATGTAATCTCAACTGATTTTTAATTTTTTTTTTTTAATGTTGAGGTAGGTGTTTGGGTTTATATATAATTGATTAAACATGGCTATAGTTATATAACTTTGGTATATATTTGGTATACCAAAGACTTGATTTTACCTCCAAATTCTGGGGGCTTTATTAAGAGCTATGAGTATCAATACCTATCAGTTTATGCTTTTACAGACTTTTTATGCCAACAGAGTATGAATAATGTTGTTATATTCTGTGTTAATTTGTCACTTGTTTGTATAACGTACAAGGGTATACAACTATTTTCAATCTTCCTTCTTGTACTATCAAACCCCATTTTTTCCAGGGTGAATTCTGGCTTCTGATTTGGTAAAAATCATTTCAGTAACTGTTGAAACGTAGCTTTAAGGTGATACAAGCACCTTACCATGGTAAAAAGTAACATTGCAAATATAGCTTTAGTGTAAGTACATTTTTTTCCTTACAAACATCATTGGCTGTATATGTGTTGATTTTATAGGCGAATGGATCAAATATACATATGTGGATAACAACAGTTAGTGAAGCTGACTGGAAAGACAGGAAGAACTTTTATAATCTTCAGTGGATTTCTGTGAATGTGGCACTGAAACATTTTAACAATAACAGGCATGTGTAACAACAATATAGAAATTCTTGATCCTTGGTGGTAAGAAAATTGCAGCAGAACACTGCCTTCATTTTTTGAAAATAAAAAGCTAGGATGATTATGTAAGATCACTGCAGAGAGTTGTCATTTTTTAGCATGGAAAAAGGAAAACACTTTGCAAAGTAAACTACTTCTAGCTCTCTTGTTTTAAAATGGCTTTAAAACATGTCCTGCTCACAAAGACAGGGATATAGTCCTGAGTTCCTGCTTGTCAGCGTTTTGATAGATGCCTAATAGGTTGTACAAATCATGTGTATATATGGGATATACGTATCAAGTTTTCTTTTGGCTGCAGATCTACAAAGAACATAATTGTCTCTAGGCGAGCACCTATGGAAAGACTTGACACATGAATCTAGAAATTATGTAACCCAAACTTTATTGCTGGTCTAGGGGAGGGTGAGAGGGGGCAATGTAAACAAAACAGTTTAAGTTAAAAGACATCTTTAAAACAGTTTTGGTTTTTGTTTGGTTTTTTTTTAATTCCATAGCATGATTTGAGAGTCACCAAGGTATTTTACTTTTAGTACAACCCATTAGCTAATAGGTGGATGCATAGGTGAATTCCATGCTTGAGGATGGAAAGGTGAGTTTCGTACAGGTGTGATGGGAGGGCCAGAGGAAGTGGGAACACAAAAAGCACCTGCTGCTGTGATGCAGGATACTCAGCCTGTTGTCACAATAACTTCTGTTAGAGTCAGCTTTCCAGAAGTCCTTGAAAGCTATAGTTTATTTCAGGAAAAGAGTGATGACGGATTAATTCACAGAGCTTCCCTCTAGCTGACAGGTTATATCATCGCTACCAGACATGCAAGGTTAATATATACACACTTTTACTAATTCAAAACCAGGGATAAAATATAAGGGACAAAGAATCTATTGAGACACGTGACCATGGTAATACTGAGGTGAAGTTATTTTTTGCTTAGAAGGGTTATATGATTAAGTGGGTATGATGATATGTTGATATAAAAGAATATGGGGGCACTTTAAAATTCTGCATTAGAAAAGTAAATTTGTTGAAATTAATATTTTTGGGGGATATGTAATTTTTTTTTATGTTTTGGAAATGGAATTGAAATGCTTTTGGAATCTAGGAGTACGTTTTTAACAGTTTTGGAGGAGATATGAAGGCCTAAGAAAAAGTATGTCTTTATTTTCATTTCTTAAATTTAGTGTTTATTTGCTATTTAGAAAAAGATAGCAAGGACTTCTATGAATATTTGATACTCTGAGAAGCTGATTAGGAAAATTAAAGGCAAAGGCTTTAATGTGCTTTATAGATGACCTGCTTTGTACCTTCTATTTGCTCAAAATGAGTGCATGTTCACAGCTTGTACACAACTAGTTATTTCTCTCCTAAACATGCATGGAGTACCAAATTACTGATATTGATACAAAGATTGGATCCACTTCATAACAGCTCTAGTTTGTATCCTGAAAATATTATTCATTTAAATTTCACTTACAAAAAAATTTTTAAAGACAGATCTTTCTTAAAACAGTCCTGCAATGTTAGAAATGCTTTATGTATTCAAAACACAGAGGGGAAAATAGTATTCAGTAAATTCCAGAGTCTGAACTTGGGGAGTTACCTTTTGAGGATTTTTCAGATGAGGGAAATAGCTGATAAGCAAGACAAATTAAAAATAGGGAGGAAAAATCAGTTTTTATGAAAGATATAACTGGCATATGTTGATGACAATGTTAGTAAAATTCAAACTGTTTTAATTTAATGAGTATTTTACCTTGAAAATAGCAGTGACTGGTATGGTATTATTATATATCGGATTAAGAATTTGGTTTGCATGGTAGTTAGTAGGCTGTAATGCAGAACAGCTAATTCTGAATATTAAGAGGAAAAGCAATAAAAAGAAGCCAAGTACTCTTAAATAAACAAAGATTTACTTAAAGAGATATTAAGGATTGCCAAGAAACCAAAGAATACAAAAGGTAATGTCAAGACATTGCATCCATGCAGGGCTGGAAATACATTATTCTTGAAAGCGTTGGTTTATGCCATTCGAGCTACAAGATTTGGGAGGGAACCTCAGTTGCATGTGGTAGTTACTTGTTAATCTGTGTTCTGAGCAATGGAATAATACTGTACTTGGACCTTGCTCTCACGAACACATGCATTGTTATCTTTAAACATATCCTAGGTAGTTAATGGTTTTATACTTAAATATGACAATAATGTTTTTAAAAAACACTGTTTTTGTCTATTTACTGCTATTCTCCCTTTTAAAATAAAAATGTCTTATGACTGAATTACAAAAAATATTCAATACACGTAAAAAGAAAATATAAGCAGCATTTCCTAATGTGGGAGTGCAAATTCAGAAGCTTGTAAAGGTTGCAATAATCAAATCTTGGTCTAGAAGTTTCAGTAATAACTTTGTTACTTTTCACAAAGAATAAAAACGAACAATTATCCAAATTAAAGCATGCCTGGATGGACATAGGAAGCCACAGAAAGATTTGAAATATGAAAGTAACACTAATATATCTTTGTTATAGAACTATATTAATTTTAAATAATCCTACTTCAGAGAAGCACTGACAGAATGTTGGGTCACAAAAACAAATATATGCTAAAGCTTGCCTGGGGTAAGGTGGCCCCAAATACTTTTACTTCTGAAACAGCTATTTGATTAAGATAAAGGAACTGACAGCCAGAAAAGTCACAGTCCATACACTAAAAAGAGAAAAATGACACAATAGAATAATTGTTATGAAGCTGCTTGAAACTAAAAGGAAACTGAACTGTGGGTGATTTCTTATGCAAACACACTGGACATTTACTGGAGTCTTTAAGACTTTTTGAAGGCAAGAGGCCCATCTACCGTGTGTTTGATGGCTCAGGAAGTACAGTGCTAAATGTGTGTTCTGACTTGGTAAACCAAAAAGGTAAACGTTTATGGTTTCTTTTTCATCAAAGATCCCCTAAAAATAGTGTTATGTGCAGACGTTAAGGCAGTGGTTCTCAAAACAGGGATCACAACCACAAATAGGATCATCCAAGTGGCAAAGCAGAAGGTGGTTTGGCAACCAGTAGTGAGATGATGAGCCTGAAGGGCAAACGAAGTAAAATCACAAACTAAAAGTTTGATAACTTGTTGAAAACAAATGAACCATGCCCTACATGACCCCTGCATGCTTCTTGATTAATTTAATAATGAGCATAGAATTAGTCAAATGATTGCAATCTGATTGGGATGATTGGGATGCTGCCTGGAGACCCCTCTCTTCTCAAGATGACACTTTTTTATTTCGGCTGCAATGACGTAATAGTCTGATGTATCTGGAAACCTACATCTATTCATAGAAGTACTTAAGACCAAGTAATTACTGTTTAGTATTTTCAAGAGCCAGAAACTGAACTTTTAAGTAGCGTGATCCTACGGACTATTCACTCTCTCATCAAGGAAAAGTGGGCAAGTGAGTGATGAGCCAAAGCGATCTTGCTTGCACAGCGTGTAAGACAGAGGGAAACCAAATCCAGTTTGAAACTTTCTACGTGAGTAACCTCATAGAAATTGGCATCTGTAAGCTTATTAATACAAAGGCCTAGCAAGTCATTCACCAATAAACCCAGAGATTGATATTTACAGAGTCTGGACAGTATTTTATCCTTCATTATTTATTATTTATTTATTATCCTTCATTATTTATCCTTC